AAATTTTAAATTATTGTGGTGCATATGTATTTGCATCCATATTGTGTAATGCTAAAATATTGAAAGTAATACTATTTATTTAAAATATATAAAAATATAATAGCTATATAAAACCCATGATCATAAGAAATATATTTGGAGCTGAGGAAATTCAAATTTGAAAACAGGAAAATGCTGATTAAAGTAACCTCCTGATTTTAATCAATCAAATTGAGAGACACAACAAGCACCTGGCTCTCCCCTTTCCTGTGCTGGCCAGAAAGGGGCACCATGTGGCCAGCAGCTGTCATACCTCTCCCCAGCTTTTCCTTCATTATACGGGTTCCTTCCCAGGAATGGCTGGAACCAGCTACCTCGGTTTCCTCCATGGTTGTTGAGCAGCCACTGTCCTGCAAAACCCTTTGACAGGATGTTCAGTTTGCCCTCTCAGCTGCCCCTTGAGCAGTCCTGCCACTCCAGATACTCTGCCCCCTCTCTCCAGAAAGTAGGGCACTCAAACGTGGCTAAGATCATGGAAGAGAGGGGTCCTGGCCCATAATTAATATCCCCAACTTCTACAAACTCCAATAAGCTGTTATGAACAGAGCCCTCCTGAAAGGTCCTCAGTTTCAGCTCCACTATTTATCAGGCATGACACCTGTCAATCAAACAGTCGAAGTCTCCCCACTCTTTCCTTGAAGCTCTTCCATGACACCTGTAGCTGTCCTGGATCCCCAATCACAAGCCTACACTGGGACCAACCGTTACTCCAAATTTGATCCAATCAGGCTTACACTCTGACCAATAATAGGCCTGGAGGCCCTATATAAGCAGCACTCCCCTTATACACCCAAGGTTATCCTAGGAAAGCTCTCTGTCTGGTGTATCTCTGTGCTTCTGCACAGGCCTTGTAAATATAAAGCCTATCTGGTTCCACAAATCTGCTTGGATGAATCATTATTTCTCAGGTAGTGTCAACTTGGAGGTTCTGGTTAATCCATTCAGGATCCTGAGTAGTGTGAAGAAAGAGGTCACTTTAAAAGAACAATAAACACTAGAGGCTGTTACCTCTAAAGAGCTCCAGAAATCAGCTGCCAATTAGGATCAGAAACACCAACATGCATGGGGCAGGATCTAAAGATGGCAGCCAGCACAAACCATTGTCAAACACCAGCAGCCAGTAGCTGCAGAGACCAGCAACCAACAGAGTTAACGAATGGCATCCAGCATTAAGTGGAGCTACTGGCAGGGCTGTGCTTTGCTAATTTGTGATTTCTTTCTGAAACCAGATAGACCCCTCAACTTATAGGTGGCAAAATAACCAAACAGGGCACCTTCGATATTCATAGGCTCAGTGTCTACTGTGCTTATCAATCACGCTGTGTGGACAATTTCTAAAATTTCTAGGGTAATTCCTTTGAGTTTAGATTTACCAATACAAAATAAACACTTTCTAAGGTATTTTTCCAATGATCTTATTCTGTGGTTCTGTAAATCCCTTTTAAATTTTAGGGTTGGATTACACACACATACATACACATACACATACAATTTCAGGAAATGGTCCATTCGTAGTTTATGCTCACAACTATACATCTCATATTTCTATTTTACTGGCCATACAAAAATATCACGATCTTTAAAAATCAGTTGAAGCATCACTTTTATTAGAATAAAGTTGAGCCATGCTTTCAATGATGGGTTTTTTGGCGATTGAACAATACTTTTTTCTTTGTGTTGCTGAGGATCATAATTTTTTAATCAAAGAAGAAGAAAGGAATGTGTTAAAAACACTAGGCATTACTCATTAAAGAAATGTATAGTTTTCTATTTGAAAGCAAGAACTTAAGATTATAAAATGTAAATTATGTTTTTCTTTATTTAGGATACTTGAATGTATATGTTTGTGCATATCTCTTCATAGAATATATTAATGGAATAGAAAACCTTATTTTCCCTTACTCCATAAAGAAAATCTATTTTTATTAGTTTTAAATATAATTTCAGCAGATATAAAACACTCATCCTACAACTAATAACGTGACAGGAAACAATGGTATCAATTTGTCCTCAAAAGATGGAAGTCAAATATATTTTAAAATATTTCATTGTTAGTAGATTTTTTCTCACTTTTTCTGGAACAGGGATGATATTAAGTAGAATTTCCTTCAACATACAGTCTACCAAGACATGTTTCTAATATAAATGACACTTGAAAGATTAGAAATGATACTGAACTCAGTTTTACATTTCCCATGTCTCTTGGCCTTTGGCATTGTGGAGAAATGACATTCAAAATTTTCTGTACTACTTTTCCACAGTAGCTAGCAAGATCCTGTCAGAGCAGGATTAAATTCTTCTTTACTCTCTTTCTACACAAAGCTGAACATAAATGATCTTTATCTCCTGATGATATGACTTAAAGTTTCCTTCCTGACATATTAATATAAACACTGAATAGAAAATTTAAGTAACTTAAAGCCTAACTGCTGTGTACTCTCCAGGAGTCCTCTTCTCAGATGTGTTACCTTCCATATTTAATATATATTGTATTTCTTTTCCAGTTTGAGAGTTTGTGATTAATTGGTAACATGAAATATATCTTCTCATTCAAAAGTAAATTTAAAAGCAGGAAATATTACTGAAGAGAATTATTGTTGAAAGGTTATATCACAACCTTGTATATTACAGGTATACACTCACTGAGACTACACATTCTTAAAACCTCTAGTGAAGGAATGACACATGTATATTGAATCCAGTAGAATATATTTCATGACTGAGGTGATTATCAGAGGAAGATGGATTCCATTGTATCATTTTACTAAGTTTATTTATTGGTACATTTTCGGTATACAATATAGTTATACTCATCATTGGGATCTTGTACCTTTACATGATGTATCTTGGTTCTTATTTTTTCCCCATTTCTGGCACTCCCTTCACCCCCTCCACCCTTCCCAATTTACAAATAATTTGTTTCCATTTTTTCTCTTTTCTCATATTTTTTCTTTTCTTTTCTTTCCTTTTCCCTATCCCTCCCATTTCCCCTATTCCTTTAGATGTTTTCTTCCTATATATTAGGATTGGAAGTCTCATTTGGCCCAGAAATTCCTCTGCTGGGTATCGTCCCAAAAGAATTAAAAGAATCATACCACAGTGATATACGTGCACCCATGTTTATAGCATCACAGTTGGTAACAGCTAAAACTTGGAAACAGCCCAATTGCCCATCAACTGGAGACTGGATAATGAAGGTGTGGTTTTTTATAAAATGGAGTACTGCTCAGACATTGTATCTTAACTGTAAAAGTGTATTCACTTGCAAATGGGGGTGAGGAAAACACAAACATCATAGAATCTCAGTTGAAAGAAACATAGAATCAGGTCTTGATTTTTTGAAGGTTGATTCATATATTCAAGAAGGTACTGAGAATCTGTATTTGAGATGACTTGGAGAGAGCAGAATGGGATGATGGGGATGAGAAACACAGAAGGAACTAAGCTCTGAGACAGAGCCTACAATACTTTCAGGGAGAAAAAGTGAGGGATAAAGAACAGAGATTCCAGAAGGCATCTTTACCTCTCCACCACATGAAGCTGTCTTGCACAGGAACTGCTAAGCGAGCAATAACTTACCATTAGTTTAAATCAACTAATTTCCATGCAAATAATGAACCTGAGAAACTGCTTTACTGAAGACAATGTCCTAACATTTTAATTTTAATTCTTCATCTTGAATATGACTTAATTCCAGAGAGTCCAGTACAAGTGGCGTACTGAAGTTCAGAAGTTATGCCTGTAATAAAATATCCATTAAGAGATTATACTAGGGACTAGCAATTATATCACATGCAGTAGTCCGGAACTTGACTGTCTCCCAATGGTGCAGGTCCCCAGTCCATGACTGTTGGGTAGTGGAACCTTTAAGAGCTAGGCACAGTTAGATGAAGCAGGGCCACTGAGGGTGTGCACTTGAAGGAGATGCTGGGACTCTGACCTCTCGTCTCTTTTTATTTCCATGTCTTCAGGAGGAGAACAGCTCCTCTGCTGACCACTCCTGTACACATCATGCACTGCACTTCCAAAAGCCCAAGGACAGCAGGGCCAAATGACTGTGGACAGAAACTTCTGAAACTCTGAGCCAAAACAAACCTTTCTTCCTTCTAACTTGATTATCTCATATATTTTGTTATAGTGACAGAAAGCTGACTAACATACTAGGTCCAAAAGTATATAGTTTATGCTAAATAAGTTTTAAGTGCCAAGTCATTATACATGACAAGGGCCAATGGCAGAGCTCTGTAATGTAATTTTGTTTCAGAGCAAAATCTATTGCCTGCTCTTCCTTCTTCACACAGAACTGTAGAAAGATGAATCTAGCAATCATGGAGAGATTTTTAAAAGCCTAAACAAAATCTCAAATATAAGACTAAGCCATGTAAACAAGAAAAGAATCTTAATCTTTAAAACTTAAATTTTATAATATAATATATATCATGACTAATGTATTATTTAATTTAATTTAATGTCAAATAATTTATGACTAATTTATGAAGTTATTCCATTGGAAGTCACACACTATGTAGGGAAGATATTTTCTTGTAGAACAGTAATGATCAAACAATTTTACATAAGATTACAATATTTTATCATTCATCAGATCCTTGATCCAAAAAATAATAATACTTAAAGAGGAGATGTGAGGAAACTAAAGAATACATTTACATATGATTTATTAAATGTGTAGCTTTAGATCACTTATATAAGTGAGCACACAGAAAATAAATATTTCTCTGTAAGTGTCCCTTAATTTGATTATAATCATAGAAATAGAAATTATTTGCTATAATATTTGAGGATAATGGGAAAAAACAAGCTCACAGACAATATAATTACTATTAGGTATATGTATAAAAGCAAACTTCATTGTGGATTTATTTAATGTCTTAAAGTCTCCGGCACATCATTTTAATTGAGTGGAATAGATATAAAAATATGAATGAATTTTCATCACTCACCTCTCTTAACAGTTCTCCTTGTACTTGTGGACTTATCTGCAGGACAAGGGCAACGTCCTTCACATTTGACTGAGATTTGTTTTCCTAAGACACATGCCTGATATTCCAGTTTGCACTGCATAAAAATAGAACAGATATAATTTAGAAACATTTAGTTATGTCGGTAGAAAATAAAAAAGATTTAGAAAAAAATAAGTTGATAGTTATAAGATTTGAAAATCTTTAAACTAGATAATTTAACTACAAAGATGAAATTTTACACACTCATATATTGTTTATTGTCCCAGGGGGGTCAGGAATGCAGTTATCTTGTTTACTTTGGAAAGCAGCAATGGAAAAATACGATGATATTAAAGTTTTTCTTAGTTTGTCACCATCTAAGTGCAGAACTTTAGGATCAAATGGAAAGAGTTTGACACTATAGCTCTTGAGCTCCAGTGTAAATATGTGCTCGTTTTTCTGGTTACTTGAATACACATGTTTCTCTTACTGGGCTCTAAAATTTTCACACAAACTGTATACATATAGCCAGTAAGTTCACATCACTAAATTGCCAATCAGATCACATGAAGTCAACAATTGTGAAATATATATTTGTGAGTTGATAGCCTTATAACATTCTTCTGATTACATACAATTTCCCACAAACCACTGCAGCCCAAACATACACATATAGAGAACAAATATGCATATGCACATATAAAATAAATTACGTATAATCTTTATGAGTCTATGTTTATGACATACTGTGTATTATGAATGTACTATGTATACACAGTATTTTTGTATACATATTATATTTTTGTTATGAAGAACTTTCAGTGGTGTTTTCCTCCTTACATGCAAATGATCTTTGAAATGACTTTCCCATAAACCTCACATTAATATAAGATTGTTTCTACAAGCCCTAGAGATTATTTCACTTGCTTTACTAAAGTGATAGAGTACACCATGCCTCTCCTTACTGTTTATATGATCATAGGATTAGAAGCCATTAGGAGAGTGATAATGGTACTCTTATGATTCTATCATACCTGTTATAGAAAAAGATAAATGAATGGTATAGGATGAAAAAAGCAACCAATGAATTCATATCTTATGAATACAATTTCCTAGTGTGACATTTAGGACTAGTTTCTCAAATGTCCTCATCTCAATTTTCCCAATACAATACCTAATGTCAAGATATCTGAGAATCAAACAGCTACTTTCCCCTCAGTGCATCATTAGCTATCATGAACCAGAATCTCAGTACATGTTAGTAGGAGTTGAGAATGGAATTAAGTAAAGCACCCTCAAAATCGTTACCAGACATGACTGTATTCTTTTTAGTTTAGCTTTGGTTTGGTTTGAGGGGTTTTTTTGTAAATATTTTTCTTTGTAGAATTTTAAGCCTGAATATCTTTAATTCCTCCTTATGATAGTCTTTTATAAATTCAGATTTGACATGAGTTTAAAAATCTAAAACCACTACATATTTTTGAGAGGCAATAATTATCTTCCAACTCTAAAAGAAATAGATCTTGCTAGTTCTGAAGTAATGTAATTTCTTTAGTGGCTACTCCCATAAATTACTCCAAGCAAATTATTTTAAAATTAAATAGAGTAGACTTTCTGGCTCCAACTGACAAATGCACCAGTGACTAATTTAATTCAGCTTCAGCTGATACAGAGAAGTACTGAATGCACTCAATGACTAATGAGATTACTCATATCTCTACAACATTTTATTTTTCCTTGTCAACTCTTCAGTGGACAGGCAAAAATCTTCAGTAGCCTTGCAATAAATGAGTAGAAATTATTAAGCCCTTTGAACTTGCTTGAAGTAGAATGTCAGCCCTTTCAGAGAATAAACCCTTTCAATAGTAACTAAATGTTTCAATAATTGAAAAAAGTTATTTTGTTATGTAAAATCATACTGAATCACAAATGACATTAAAAAAGTCCAAATCTAATTAAAAGTAGAAATATTTAAACAATTATGAATGTTTCATGAAAGCCAAATTAGTTATATGAAACTTTGAGGCTTCAGATTAAATATTTTTATTCTAATTTCTGTTATCTTATTATTTCAGTAATCTGGACCTGGTCATGTAAAAATTCTGATTCATGACATAATTGAAGAAAAGTTAAACAGCAATTTTAAGTGGTTTTTGAATGGACAGACCCAAAAGCCAACATTAATTGCTGCCAATATTATATTTTTGTCATTAGAAAATATGGTAGCTGTCTTCAAATGTATACTATGTCACACTGATTTACATTTTAAATATGTTCTATCTTAGCATTGACTTTTTTTCATAAGGAATACAAAAGACTGGATAATATTTGAATGAACATCAAAAATACAACAGCTGTTAGTTGAGGGAAATTATACTCTCTACTTAAAAGTTGATGATTCATTTTTATATTGTTAGGCACTAAGAAAATAATTTATATGAAGAGCAAAGCATTTATGAAAATTTAATTAAATTTTCATTAAAAAGTTTTACTCCTAACGAATTTTCTTTGGTATAGTGGCCACTAAAAAGTTACAGACCTTTAAATTTATGTGATTCAATGAAATTACAACTTTGCAAAGTTACTTCATAAATGAAATAATTCCTTCTTCAGAATATTTCTATTGAACACCTTCTTTTCTCTGTCCTTTTTTGGCAAAGACAACAAAATCAGATGTACAGCAAATATGCCCTGTTTGTATAGTCATATAAATTTAGGTACTCTTAACTAAAAATACTTAGTTTTATTTAATTCTGGATTAATCTGTGGGGACAATAAGCTTTATGAAGAATTTTATTTAAAGAATATTAGGAAATAAAAAATTCTACTTTTAAATAGTTTAAGCTATCTCTATTGATTGCACTTTTAATTAATAGTGTTCAATTTACTTAATAATCACAGAGCTGAAATATTTATCAAGGTATAAGCGAACTAAAATATCACATAAAGGGCATACTCATTAGTCTATAATTACCAAAAATTCAAATAATGTAGAGAAGGACAGGATTAAAGCATCCCTAATTAAGACAGTCAGTACTGAATATTTAAGTTGTTACTTATTATGAAAAACAAGGAACCAGAATGATTTTTGACACACAGTTACTTTATAATCATTTGTTTAATAACTGGATCAACTAGAAGAAAATATGATCTTAGTAAAAGAGAGATCTACAGTGTACAGAAAACAACCCTCAGACTCAGTAACCACTGAAACAAGATATTGTCATTATTTTTCAAGCTAATGCTAACTCCATGGGAGACAGCTCAGACCAGAGGTACTCAGCTAGGGACAGCTCCTCTCCCCATGCCTAGGGATAGTGGCAGACATTAAGGTGGGAAGGAATTCCTGGCACACCTAAACGTAGAGGGTTTAAATTCGGCAAAACATCTTACCATACACTGGACAACATCCACTCCATCCATAAAGCACGCACTGCAATAACAAAGAATTATCTGACTCCTAAATTCAATAATGCCAGGATGAAAATCCCTGATTAAGTAAGTACTAGCACACTGAAACATGATGGAAGAATTAACTGAACTATCAAGATCGTTCTATATTTCCCTTAGGAAATTTGTCACTAAATTAATCCATATAAAAACGATAATATAAACACAATGCTAGGTACAACTACTTTATTTGGAGACAGAGAGAATACATATCAGGTGAAACACAGTTAAGAGTGTCCTATTTTCACTGGGGTGTCATTACATGTCAAGCCATGTTAAGCAGTTGCAATGCACCAATTTAATCAAAATAAGGAAGTCATATTTTAACAATACATTTACAAGTGAAGGATAAAAAGTTTATGCAACTGATCATAAATATGTGACTGAGATGTTATGCAAGCACTATTTTATAGTTCTAATGTAGAACAAATATATAATTAGCAATAGACAAGAAATAGCTATTGTTTCTTATTGTAGCAATAAATACTTTTACTTTTACCCACATGAAAAAATCAATTTAGGAAGTAAAGCGGGTTATGAATCATATTTTTAAAAAGTTTCTGCTTTAATCTTTCTCAGACTAATACATTTCTTCAATATCTTAAACAGCCTATCTGAATTCCCATAAATAGAATCCTTCATACTCAGTTACAGCTAACTCTTTCTAACAAGCCTCCTCCATTTGAGTTCTGGTTCCCACTCTGGTATTTCCCATGCAAAGACAAACAAAGGTGGAAAGAAAAATGTGATTCAGCCTTAAATCCATTCATTCAATCAGGATACACCACTTATAAAGAAATAACATAATTGTCACATCCACACACAATCAGGGATCTAAGCATAGCAACAATATTAAAAATCCTCTGCACTATAGTGGATGTGCAATGTTGTGTTCTGGTTGTAATAGTCTTTCTTTCATGCAAGAATAACACTGGGCTTGTTTGAGGAAATTTTCCTTTTTTTCATCAGATAGCTGATTTGGGGGAACATTTGCATTACAAAATATTATGATTTACATACTGAGTAGAGAAGATGGCTCTCACCCTAATGGAAGACCATTGTCCTAGCCCTTGGGGCCCCAGATAGGACAATAAGGGTATCGGAAATGTCAGTTTACTCTCTGACCTAAGACATCCACCTCCCATCAAAAGTCAGGGATTCTGGAATTTCAGACCCTGGAATAGCCAACAAACTCCAACATATTTAAGGGTCTGATCTCAATCTAATGTTTCTTAGAACTAACTAGGTAGATTCACAATTCAACCTCTCCAGTAATGAAGGGAAACTGTTAATTTTTGAACCATCATCACCAAAAAGTAGGCCCAGCACCTTACTGTATTCTTTGGGTATTAGAGAGCATATGCTCTTCATTTGGACATTCTACTTGGTGCTTTACATCACCTAAACCCATTATTGTGTCTTTTGAAGCTAATCTTTGTCATGTGTTTAGCTTTTGGGATCACAATTTGACAGTAGAGTCAGGAGCCATTCTACATAATTTTGGGGAAAAATAATTTCACAAATTATAATTAGGGCTGTCTTAGGCCTCAATGGTCCTATGATGCTGTGATGCTCAAGGACAAGATTACATCACCTGAAGACATCCTGGGTCTTTGAGAAAGGAGTAGAATGGTTTCACCTGGGGAGGGACAAAGTCCTTATAAGCTTAACTCATCCCAAATACTGTTGTAAAAACGTCTTTGCTCATCTTACAGTCATAATCAACATAAGCTCCTCATTGACATAAGATCTTCATCAGCATAAGATTCGCATGGGGTTATAATCATGATCAAGTCCACATACCTGAGCCAAAAGTCAAACCAAGTTTGAATTTTAAAAAGTTCAAATAGAAAGAGTGCACATCTATTTCTGACAGAGGATATTCTTATCATAAAATATTCACAGCTCAGGTAAAGTATTCAGAAAAAGATATGGGAAAATGAAATACTATATACAAATTGATATAGCATACCGAATTTATAATGATTATATGTCAAGAATTATCTATCCTTAAAACTCTACATATAGTCACTAGAATTAATAAATATTAAGAGAAATTCACATCATGTCTCAGTTATGGAAAAATAAATGACAATAAAACATAGCAGTATGCTGCAATTTAAAATAGATTATCATCATATCACAATGTAAGATAAAAGTTTCATTAATGCTCATGTTATTCTGGAATATATACTTATATATTACATACTTATATAATATATTATTGCCTTTTAATTCATACATAGACAATATATTCATATATAGGCATATTCTTATATATATGCATTTGAAGGCAATAATATAAAGAATACACTAGTGTTCCACAATAGTGGTTCTCAGCCACAGCTACATATAAAAATCGTCTGGGGAGCTTTTTAATGTTTATGCACAGGGTCCTGTCCCAAACAAATTCAAGCATCATTTCTAGAGCTGGATTTGGCATTCAAATAGAAAATCTATAACCTTTCTATTTTCTCATCTCAATGTTCACATGCTTGTTTGTGCACATGTGTGCACAAGTACACACACACACACACAATTTTTTAAGCAATACTCATTCCTAGGGAATTCACCATGGTTTAGTTCAATTGCTAAGCACTGGATGATTAAATATGACAGAAAAGACAGAAAAGAGTTTAAAATAATCCACTGTTTTCTTCCTCAGGGAATTTACATTATAGCTATCCTGCTCAGTTGTAAAACATTACTGTCGTTTACAGATTGTGTTCACTGCCAAGTGAATACTACAATTTACATAAAGTGATAAATATATCCATGGTCTAACACACATGCTACATTGGGGAACAATTCTCAGTTCTTACTGAAGCTTGACAATACAATCAAAGTAGACTTTGCCTGAAGTAAAGAAGTGAAGGCCTTCATTTTTTGTGTCAATTTCAGGAGTGATTACCTCTCAAATAACTCGAACAGAATTATATTTTGATTTTTCTGGCAGAATTGAATTTCAAAGAATTGAAAATAATTCATAAATCATTGGCTTTTTTAAAAAAGAATGATTTGGTACACATTTTGAAGATGTCACTCCTCTTTCTTAACAGGAAAATAATGTTACAAAAATAGTTATGAAAAACACAATTTTTCGAATATATTTGTCAAGTGAATCGATTTTTCTATAATTCTCCATTTGCCTTTCCACGTGTAAAGTTTTTAAATTCTCTGCTTAAAATTTCTAGAAAAACAAAATGCCCTGAGTGTGAATATCAGTGAAATATTCAAAATCAGTCACTTTGTATAACAAGCTATAATTTGAAAATTATATCCTGTTTATACATACCTTTTTACTAAAGTCTTCTGAAAATCCCCTTTACCATATGATGTCCAGCTCCTGCACTTAGTATAATTTAAGTTATGTAATGGTGATATCATTTATAATTTCATCTCTGTGATTGAGATGCAGTAATGAAGAAACTCAGGATGTGCAAAATACAAAAACATGAAGGAAGGCCTGAAGACCAGGATTTGTATTCTGCCCTGTATGTGTGTTCCCAAACCCAGAGTGATAATATCTGGTTTCTGTCTAGCCTTTGTTTCAGGATTACCCAGGTAAGAAACTAAAAAATGTAGAGCAGACTACTTCATTGACTATACTGAACATGGAATTTGGAGCTCACCATTACTCTGAAATAAACCACAAGGGCTCCAAAGTTGATCACATTACCTTATCATAATTTTCATACTCTATTGACAAAGATTAGTGATTTAAGAGCCGGATGATCCTGTGCCCCCTTCACCAATATTCTTTTCAGTTTTCTATATCCAGTCCTGAGGATTTCAAGTAGGAGGTTTGTAAGTCTATATTCCTTTCTGTCACGTAATAAAAGAAAAGTCAGCTGTCTCAGATGAAGTTTTTTAAAACTCCTAAATATTTTAACAGTATGTGATGCCAAGTAGGAAGGCAGGATATTGTAATAAAAAGGAGCAAATAAAATACAACCACAGGTGATACTAAATCTCGCCTTTAATGTCAAATAAACTTGTCAGCTTGCTATACATTTCCGATAGTGTTCTCATATGGTAAAATTTTTTTTTGAGGTGAAAATGAGATGATAAAGGAGATGATATTAAACTTTTTAAAAGGAATTGCTGTACCAGGGATTGAGACTACCCTGAGCAGCTACAAATTCATAAATTGGCTTTTCCTAATAAAAGTCTAAGTCTGCCCATTAGCCCACAGTAGCTCGCCTGAAGAGCCAGCAGTTGGTGTGTGGGAAAGGAACAACTCCCCACACCACTGGTCACAGCAGAGGTCACAATAATCCATGATGCGGTGACATCTTGGATGGCAAGACAATAGTGCAGCTAAGGGCACATATCTCATATACAAAACTTCTATGGAGGCAGAAATTAATCAGTGGGAAAAAATTTCTCATTAATCAATGATCTGTTCCTGCTAGAATGTCTTGTTCCCTTGTTGCTAGGACCCTGCTCACATCAGTGCTCTCCACTGCACTGTCCCTTGCACTGTCCCTTGACCCTTTAAGAAGCTGTGTGTTCAATAAATAGTGGCCAGCTCCAGGAGACAGTGTTTAGCCTGATAAGAGCTCTGACCATCCTGGGCCCCCCATTTATGCATTAAGATCCTGTCTTGTCTTTTTTTAATCCTGCCACCGCCGTACCCTTGGTCAGATAATTGGGTGTTTTATCAGCCTCCAATAACACCAGATTATAGCACCTATTGTTGTTATAAAAATAACTTTTATTACTATTATTTAACAGCCAGCTAACATTTCTGACATTTTCTGTAGAAAGAACAAAGGAGATCTTGGTTTTAATATTTAAAAGATCAGAGTATTCACAATTTTACTATTTCACACTTTAAGAATTCTGACATTTAAGAAACTAATATACATTGACTCATATTCCTAGCCAGGAGGATTATTCATTTTATTTTAAAAGTTGAATAAATAAATTACATGGACAATCACATTGAAAAAGTAATAATTTTAAGTACTAATAAATACATATTACTTATTTTATATTAAACAAATGTGTTTCTCTTTACCTGAGAAGAGTAGGAATGACCATCAGAACCACACACAGGGCTAGTGTAGGGCATGGGGCACTGACTGCAGGCGGGTGGTGTGAGACCCCTCCACTGCTTATGGCCTACACCTGCTTCTTTCGCGCTGTTAAAAACAAAACAAAAACAGATAAGAAAGAAAACTACCATACTTCATGCATTTAAAAACATATATGCATATAGACATGTCTTTTCTTCCCTGTAATAAAAACTCTTTAAGATGAATTAGGATCAATAATCTCTGTTCTCATTTTCAGTGCATTAATCAGTGCAATGTTCATTATAATTTTGGTTTCATGTCTCTAAGTTTGCTTCTCAGAAATCAAAAATGTATTCCTTAAAATCTTCTCGTAGTCACATATAAACTATAGTTAGATTTCATTTGGTGGATTCTTTGGTTTTAATTCATAGTTATGAAATGTATTTTCGAAAGCGTCTAGAACAGCAGCAATCCTTGCTCAGTAGTACAGGACTCTTGCGTTCAGCACCTTTTTCATGTTGCCCCTGTAATTCCCTTTTGAACAACATGAAAGACACCTAATTTAATTGGTGCTTAAAGACAAGAGCAGCTTACTTTTAGAGAAAATAGCAATAAAGAACTATAATTTTCCAGCACCTACTAGTATGTAGAGCACTAAATTAGTATGTTTAATTGTAACACAAGCCCCTCTGTTGTGTATAAATTGGTCAAAATGGATCTATTAGGCTTTCAATAAAATAACTTGAGAAAACCCATTATCTTCCTCCTAAGTTTAAAATAGTTTGTTTCTAAACTTCATTAAACTACTTTATTTTTTTGTGTGTGTGAACAATTCACCTGGGGCTGGGAAAGGGTTGAGAAACAAGAAAAAAAAGCAATGGGAAACCTATAGCAAAACATTTAATATTTAGAATAACTCAGTATTCATTTTTGATGATTGCCTACGGGGAGAGTAAATGGATGTCTTGTCGGGATGAGAAAAGATGTCTGACTAGAAACATTTGTATTTTTATGAAAAAGTCAAACCTACAAAAAAGTGGTTCTGAAATTTTAATTAGCATTGTACAGATTTTCTTTTTTTTTTTGGTAATATGGATGGAACTCTAGTCCTTGCACTTGCAAGGCAGCAGCGGCACTGAACTAAATCCCCTGCCCCAGATTTTCATTACAAGAACATTTAAACTTTTTATTTCAAATTTGGTAAAATCTAAATGAAGATTAAGATGTCTCTCTCCCCCTTTCTACTAAATATACTTTTTATAAAGACTTTCAGAGTTTCAGAGGCGTTTTCTTCATTTCAGCTTTGTGAAATACACTAAAAGACCACCTTACAACCTTAATGGGTTTCACAACTCATCTCATAATAGATACAACGGGAAAAATAATCACTGTGTTATTCCTGATTGAATAACTGGCACAGGACACTGAAAACCCTGAAACATTATTCTAAACCACTTCAACATTGATAAATTCCAGAAATGCAACAAAGACATAAAATATTAGCACTGTGCTTTCAATTTGTATAATACAAACAAGACATAAAAATTTATACAACTTTTTGTTCTTTAGATAAATTAGGATAGGTATTACCAAGCTCGGGTTTCTAATAAATCAAAAGTGTTTCCTAAGAATTTTACTGCTTAACTACAGATTCACAAATCATTAACAAGATACTGATATTCATCAATGGAAATAAACAAACACAGCATGTATCACCTTTATTTAAAAAAAAAAAAGCAACACTTGTATTGAGAAAGTTTTTACACTTGAAAATTAAACTAACATTATATCACAGCAGACACTTGGGCAAACAAACTGTTTTACTAACAGGGCACAAAGGGTTCTAAGTAACTGATTATTTCTAATGTAGCAGTTGGGCAGGACTCAGCCAACAGTGCAGCTCTGTGAAGCTATGTAGGTGGCACACATTGCAGATGATGTACTATTCACTCAGCATTGAGAAGTGCTCTATTTTTCTACTTGAAAGTGATATCTCTGTTCACTATGGAAGGGAGTTTTGCATTTCCAGAGTCCTTTGATCCAAAAATATCTTGTGATTCAAAATTTGCTTGGTTTGACATCTGCAACCCTCCCCAGAATTATGTATTAGTTGCGTATTTTTCTATTGAAATATTCATGCTTAAGGAAGTGGAGATGTGGCTATAACTGAAAATGTCTAAGACTTCATTTAGTATCTGCATTATATATAATATGAAAGCATATGCATCACACACAAGTAGAGTTCATCTTTTGTTTTCTAATTAAATTTTGAGACCATATTTTAGGGAGAATGATGTGTTTTCCAGAGTGACATTAAGTCAGGAAAGAATCTTACAGGCCAAGATGGACAAAAAATTGTGCTTAAAAAAAGGCAGCTTGTCTCAGTGGTGCCGTCGCCTGCCTCGCAAGCTCAAGGTCCTGAGTTCGATCCCCGAAACAAAAAAAGAAAAAAGAAGAAAAGAAAAGGCTGGTTGGGTTATCATCATGGGTTCTTAGCAACTGTAACTGGAAAATGACAAGTGAAAAAGTAGATCTGGAAGACTATCAGTAAGCATATTATTCTGTATACCTTAGTTACAGAAAAGGTCTTTGCCATTTGACAGTAAATCTAATTTTTTGACATAAAAAATTAATTTGCTGTTATCTTGAATTATCAAATAGAATAATAAAATTTTCTTTCATTAATGAAATATATTACTCAAGGTGACTAAAAAACCCAGAGAACTCTTCCAACAGTAGTTTTGAAATATATGACTTTAGAACTATTTTTCAAAGAAAATTTTGCTTGAGCATTTGAGTTAACATTTTATCAACTTTGCATTGGCATCTTGGGGATCACATGATTTCTTATAGGGAGTAAAAAATGTCTTTATGAGTCCAGGGAAATGAAACGTTAAACGATAACATATGCTAAGCAAAGTCATTTTTGTTTTTTCTCAGAATTTTCTTTTTAAACTTCTTCATACAAAGCACTGTTAATTCCATACCAGTATAACTGTTATTATGTTTCTAATTGCTAGAAAATTAAAATGACAAGGAAGAATTTATGCTATTGCTACTGTTTCTTTACATGGCTCATTCCCAGCCAACTGAGTTATACTGTCTCCTTGTTACCTGAACTAGCACCTTGTGGCTCTGATTTACCTTTCACCCTAGTATACTTTATCCTCTAGTCTTCAGTATACATTTTTAACATCAGTCTCATAAGAAGACTCAAGAATTTCTTATTTCTCTGACAACTATGATTTAAATCACTGCTACATCTACTCAATTAAGGTCTAGTTTTCTGTTTGGCTAATTGTGTTACGCATCTTAACAGTATAATGTGAACTAAACTTTCATGATTTGGGAGTGATTAAAAAAAGTATAATTCAATCTAGAATTATTTGAAGGATTTATACATCTGAATGTTGACCATAATACAATTTAGGGACATCAGTTTTCTATCTAATGATGTTTCATTGATATTATACTAAATCTATGTTACATTAAGAGATTTGAATTGTGGACAGGTTATAATGATATTTGAATAATATACACTATAAAGTAACTTCTTTATAAATGGTAAGGACATTTGCAATTATTGGGGACAGCAGTAAACAATTTAAAAATGTGAATCTAGACAATACAGATGATATGCATGCATATTTATTTATTAATCTCTTTTCCAATGTGAGCCTCAATGGATTTAATGAGCATCACAAGTGTGAACTGTATAAAATATAAGTATGTTAAATTCAGGATGTAATGACGTAAGACCCTACTGTTTCTGCATATTTAATTCCAAAAATTATTTTCATTAGCAAAATTTTCTTCAATTATACTACGGAAAAATTTCATTCCATTGCAAATGATCTTTCCCGAATAAGATATAAAGAATAATTAGTATAGTTATGGACTACAAATGCTGATAAATCTATTTCCAGCAACTTACATGGCAACAGATTGGAAATTCATGATCCTACTTATGACAAACCGACTACTTGATTAATAACTCTACATAATTCCAGTTTTTGGAGTAAGTGCTTTTATGCTTTATGCTTCCAAAAAAAATAAAACATTATTATAAGGCAATGTGTTGGGAATTGAGCACAGTATTTTCACACATTCCAGTTTAGATTTTCATACATGTTCATAGCCTAAAATGGAATAAACACGTATATTGTAATATTATGTTACTTTAGTAATCTCACACAATATGAATCATACTATAAATTGTGATGGAAGGAAGAGAAAAACTAAAAGAGGTTAATTACCTTCCTCAAGATTCTGTTACTTGTAATTGGCAGAAATGGACTTAAAATGTCTTCTCATTTCATCATTCATGTCTTTTCTTTAACAAATGTTCAAATAAAAATTTAAGTGTCATGGACAACTGCGTTCTAATATTTCATATAATTCTACATTAGTTTTGACTTACAAATGAAAAATAACTGATTATCTCATATTTTATTTTTAAAAGTCTGCCATCATCACATGTTGCCTAAAGGATATTTGCAACTAAACTTGACATTTAAATAAAGTTAACTGAATAATAACTTCATTTCTATAAATCTGTAAGATTAATTAATCCATTGTTTCATTTCAATTTGAATTGATAAGTATATTTCTAATCCAGGTGTGAGTATATGAGAAGATTCATTATGTTTACATTTCTATATTTAACACAGGAATTAGTGCCAGGCATGGTTACACACAACTGTAATCCTGGCTACTCCAAAGGCTGAGGCAGGAGGATTTCAAATTTGAGCCCATCTTGGGTTACTTAGTGAAACACTGTGTAAAAATTTTAAAAAGTTTAGGGATGTAGCTGAGTGGTAGACTATCCCTGGGTTCAATTTTCAGGAAGGCAGGAAAAACAGAGAGAGAGAGAGAATATAAGATATTAAATTAAGAAAGTCCTGCTTTTTCAATTATTAGTGTTTCCAAGCAAAACAATCTTTGGATCATTAATTGTATTAATTTTAACCTTAAGAAGCTCTGTAGTTTCAGCACTGAGGAAAGTATGAACTAACTTTTGAGTTCACAAAAAAATGTGATTCTAAAAGATCAAGGAAATTCTATATTTGGAAAAATACATTCACATTTTTAAAATAACAGTGACAGGTATAGAATTTAAAAGGAAT